TGTGGGTGGGAACATCTAACTGCTTTCCTTTTTCTCCCAGCTTTTCCTATTTCTTTATTTGTTTTGTTCTGTAGGGCTTTCCCTGTATTCCTATCATAATGTTTTATCTATGTGTATGTGTTACTTTCTCTATTGTTGTATAATAATAATAATAATAATAATAATAATAATAATAATAATAATGATAATAATGATAATAATAATAAATAAATACCTGTCTATAAACATTATCTAATAATAGCTCCTGTTCTACAAGTGATTGACGCCTTTTCTCCTCCTCCTCCTCTTTCTGATTCCCTTCACTTAAACTGAAGACACTAACACAAGACAGATCACTGTCTCTTTTAACAACAGTGGGGGACCCTGTACCAAGAGCAGACAATAATAAAATTAAATAATAAAAAGTATACATGTACATGTACAATGTATAAGTTGTACATTAATAAGTACATCAATATGTATCAGAAAATGTAATAAAAATTGGGAGTGATTTCGGAGCCATTTTTTGGAAAAAAAACCATGGGCTATAGCCTTGGGTATTTTTCTGAAATTTGGAGTTTTAAAAATGGTCATAAGTCGAGAAATTTAAGTCAGAATCAGCTCAAACTTTCAAAACAGCATAAGTACATCAATATGTATCAGGAAATGTAATAAAATGGGAATGATTTCGGAGCCATTTTTTGGAAAAAACCATGGGTATTTTTCCGAAATTTGGAGTTTAAAAAAAAATGGTCATAAGTCGAAAAATTTAAGTAAGAATCAGCTCAAACTTTCAACACAGCATAAGTACATTAATATGTATTATGCATTATGCAAGTACATCAGGTTTGTAATTGTAATATACATGTAAGAAATATTAATAATAACTCACTAATAACACGTATTGATTCATTTTGAACAAATATGCTCAATCTCGTTGACAAAAGGTGTAAAGCAGGGTAGTATTACTTTTTGATATCAAGTTATGATAAATATCATCAATTGATTCTTTTAACTGAATTATGTTATGAGACAAGTGACCGTCCGTATTAATAACTCCTTTTAATAACTAGCAAAACAATGAGAAAAAATTAAAATAAAAATTACATCTACATGTAGCATAATCTACTATCTGACATTAAATTAAAATACAAAATATGGTGGTGCTGCTGTAATTTTAAAGGGACTTACATGAACATGTAAATTGGTAGAGCTTATCATCATTAACTGAAATTAATTACATGTACATGTACATGTATACATGCCACGTACAAATTTACTGATTTAAAGTTTGTTAAAATAAAAATTAATAATAATAATCAATAATACTAAAATAATAATAATAATAATAAAACTAAAATTTAAAAAATTATATTAAAATTAAAAAAAATAATAATAATAAATAATACTAAAAACCTCCCCCTGTGGGAGAGAAATCTGGGATATTGCCTCCTTCTCTAATTTTTAGTATATTAAATTTTCAGTAGCATA